CCCACCACTCCATATCCACCAGCAGAGACATCCTGCAGTACATCAGAGCTCTCACACCCACTGCTGGTGAGTGTGTAAAATGTACCACCTCAACTGAAAGGCTAATGGTTGCTTACACAACTAAAAATACACCTACCTTATGATCCAGCAATTCCACCTCTGGGTTTTTACTCAAGAGAAATAAAAACATGGAGACTTTTACAAGTATATTCATAGCAGTTATTCTTACAGCCAAAATTTGGAAATGGCCCTCGTCTAAACCAAACCAAACAAAACCCTGTAATATATTTATAGAAATACCATTTAGCAACTAAAAAGGGCAATTCTTTTTTGTTTGCTTTTGGGGGTAAGTTGTTTGTTTTTTGAGACAGGGTCTCGCTATGTAGTTCAGGCTGGCCTTAAACTCACTATGTAGCCCACGCTGGCCTCAAACTCATGGTGATCCTCCTGCCTCAGCCTCCCAAGTGCTGGGATTACAGGTGTGCACCACCACAGGTGGCTTAAAAAGGGACAATTTTTGATGTACATAATCTGAATGAACCTTATAAATATGCTAGGTGAAAAGATGCCTATACAAAAGAATACATACTTCATTACTCTGATAACATAAAATTCTAGAAGAAACAAAAGTGGGTTGTTTTCATTGTTATCATTTTTTTAAAATCAGACACTGGTTGCCTCTGGGGATGGGGAATAGGAGTGGAAACTGGGAAGAAACATGAAGAAATGATTTAGAGTGATGGTAAAATAGGAGAGGGATCCTCATGGAGACGAGAAATAAATCTTAATTACGAGGTGTGGCCTTAATGCATAAGCTGTTACCCACTGAAGTAAAGTCATGTCCTTCCCTATCCACCTTCCCTTCCAACCATGTGTGGAATGTACCCTTCCTTCATCCCCCTATTCTTATTACAAAGACCAGGTATGCTATATCACATCACAGGGTGGGGCTGGGGGTTGGGGGGGTGTGCCAGGATGTCCCCAAGGGTGAGAATGGCTGCTAACCCATGTCCTATAGGGAGGAAAGAAGGCTAAGACATTCAGGAGAAGTCTCAAAAACAAAAAGCCATACTCACGACCAGTGGAAAATTACCAGTCCCTAGACCACCCCGACAGTACCACAAAAGCAGCTCCTGGGCTCCTGGTAACTGACAGATCCCCTCCAACTCTGCCCATGCCTCTCACTGAGTGGTGAGATCCTTCTGAGAGTCCATGAAGCTGTGCCACTGGAGGGGGGGTGTTGAGGTCCCCATCTCCTCTCCGAGGGACTTCTCAGGACCCCGCCCTGTGACACGCCAATTACATAATTTCCATCCAAACTGAGCAAAAGAATTCTGGGTTGGCTGGTGACAATGGTGATGTCCTTTATGTTAGTAAAGGTTTAGGTTATGCAGGTCATACACACTTGCCCAAGCTCAGCAAACTGTGAACACACATTTATGAGTCCACATTTCCTTGTGTGTAAACTTTATCTTTTTTTTCTTTTTTTCTTTTTTTTTGGTGCCGGGGATTGAACTTGGGTCCTTGCGCTTGCGCAGCAGGCGGCGAAACCACTGAGCTAAATCCTCGGCCCCTAAACTTTATCATGAAAGAAAAAGAACATAAATACCAAACTCTTATGGTAACTGGCGCTGCAAAATGGAACTTTGAAGGTTACTTTTTTTCTTTTTTTCTTTTAGAGAAAGTGACTTCTTCAAACTTTCTACTGCTGAGCACATAACCAACACACCCTCCTCTCCTCAGCTCAAAAGCAGCAACAGAATATGCAGGTCCCGGGCCCAGGAGGCTGTGCCCAGTTTCCTTTCCTGAAGAAAGGGGAGAATGAGCTGAAGATGCTGGAAGCAGAAAAGCACCTGTGGAGATTTGCATTGTCTCTCTGCGCTCCCCACCCCTCTGCTCCTTACTATAAAAGATCTCTGTACACCTGTACATGGGGAGACGGAGATGGTGATTGGAGACAAATGAACAACTCTATGTTCTCCGAGCTAGCTTTGAATAAATCCTCTTTCACTTTTACCAAAACAAATGGCCTCCTTTGATTTGGTCAGCAGCGAGCAAATGAATCTGAGTATGAATCTACATGGCTGATAACACAGTGACATGCATATTGAAGAATTCAGGGAAGGGTGTAATGATTTTAGTATATGTGCTGGTGAAGCAAGCACTATAGCTGATTTTGAAATTCATTAAGAAAAGATTGAGCTGGTAGCGTGTGCCTATAATCCCAGCACTTGGGAGGCTGAGACAAGAAGATCACCAAGTTGCCCAGGCAGGAGCCTAGCTTGGGCAACTTAATGAGACCCTGTCTTGAAATAAAAAATATAAAAGACCTGGAAGCCGGAGATTTAGCTCAGTGGTTTCGCTTCCTGCTGCACAAGCGCAAGGACCCGAGTTCGATCCCCGGTACAAAAAAAAACAAAAAATAAATAAAAAAATAAAAGAGCCGGGAATGTAAATCAGTGCACAGGCACTAGCTCAACCTCCAGTACCACAAAAAGAAAAAAGAAGAGGAGGGGGAGGAGGAAAGAAAAGAAAAAGAAAAAAGATGGACAGAGGCCTGGGTTATACTGTACTGGTCGAGTGTGTGCTTAAAATATTCACAGCCCTGGGTTCAAAATCCAGCACCCAAAGAAAAAGAAAACATGGGTAGAGGGATAAAACTTGCAAATAAATATGTGAGTTTTAAAAAGTATGGGAGAATGTTAACAAGAATCTAGAGAGAAAGCATACTGACATTCATATAAAATTCTTTCAAATTTGTTGTGTTTGAAATTTCATAATACGGGGCTAGAAAAAGTCAAAAATACTTCGTTACTTTTTCATATGAAGACATATATCCTCAATAACACGTTCTCATCTTTCCTCTGTGCTTCAGGTATCTGGGATACAAAAGACTCCCGAGTGGCTTGCCCTGTGCTTACCTGCACTTAAGCAAAAGCGTGGAGAGCAGAGACCTCCGTTGCAGCAGTGGTGCACCTGCTTATAAGTCATAGGACAGTGACAGATTTATAGCCACTCTTGGCCCACAGTTTTCATTTGATTGCCTTTCCTCTCCCAGTGGAAAAATCAGGTTTGCTCCCACTTGAAATTCAATTTCCCCATTCCATGTGAATTTGTGCTGACTTTTTGTTTGATCTGGTCATGACATCTGCCTAGTTCCTTTAACTCAAATAAAATCACATTTTAAAACACAAATTCATTTTTAAATGTTTGAGTCATGATTTGAACTCTTTTTGAAAATTATCTTTAACAGTAGTTACACATACATTAATCTGGATTTTGTTTAAAAAGATGTTCAAAAGGGCCGGGGATTTAGCTCAGTTGTTCCACCCGAGTTCGATCCCCGGTACCAAAAAAAAAAAGATGTTAAATGGAAAAAGGTAAGATAAGTGCATGACAATTTGTGTAAACTTTTAAGAACAAACACACATACAGGTGTTTACACAGCGCAAGACTGAGAGGGGAGAGAAGGGGCACAGAGCAACAGCTGCTTGGTGGAGGGGGGCAAAATGAGCTGGGAGGCGTGGCTTGAGGGCTCAGCTACATTTCCAAGGGTTTCTACACAAATAACCAGAAGCAAAAAATCAGATGTTAACAACTACTACTTCTCAGTTACATAAAAATGGCTGTCATTCACAGTATTACTTACACTTGTTCCTTATAAATTCCTTAGGAAAACCAAACCAAAACAAAAGGATTCCAAAGCACTTAGTTCTATGATGTCTCACTGTCCACACCACAGAGACAGACAGGACTCAACATACAAGCTGTGTTCCCAGAGTGAACTGGTCAGTTGGTGGTTGGGCCTCATTTATTTCCCACAAAACAATGTCATACCTGTGAGGTTCCAGGCCAGCCCTCCCAAATCCATTTAATGAATCATATACAGATGCTAATGCTAACAGTACATCTCTCGCCTCTTCCGGTTATGAGGTAATGATGGCTTGGGATATGGCTAAAGGTAACAAGAGTTCAGGTGAGGTCCACTAGTTTGCTAGAAGTTACACCTGCTTGACAGGACACAGGCTAAGTGTTTCTGCATACAGAATGTTATGAGGTTTGCTGAACTCTCTCTTTCTCAAAATATATAATGTGAAATAAAAAATTTTTTTTTCAGTGAACCCAGGGCCTTTCCACTCAGCTACATTCCCAGCCCTTTTAACTTTTTCCCTTTATTTTGAGAGAGGGTCTCACTAAGTTGCTAAGTTGCCCAGGCTGGCCCTGAAGTTGCGGTCCTCCTGCCTCAGCCTCCCAGAGGGCTGAGATTACAGGCATGCACCACCACACCCAGCTATAAATATGTATGTCTATATTTATACATACATACATGTATATATAATATATGCTAATATGTATATTAATTTGTGTTTTTCGACAGCAGAGAGATTGTGTTAAGACTCTAGGAGCCAGAGATGAAGCAACTGCAAGGAGTCCCCACGATTTAGGTCCCCTGGCAACAAATAAGGAAAGACGTAACCAGCTGCCTACATTCTTGGCAGCTCTGCTAAAAAGATGTCTCACGGACTTTTTCTAGAAATCTGAGTGAGAAGCAGAGAATATTTCCCTTCACTAGTGCATGGTAAAAACCAGCAAATGCATTTGGCATTTTCACTGCTTTCTATCTAAAGCCAAGCTCACAATGCCCCAACTTTACATTGGGGTCTATTACTGCCTTTCTTCCTACAGCTCGGTCTCTCCCCACAAGGACCATTCCAAAAAGCAGACTTGTCACCTGAAGCTTATTGATTCCTTTGTTTAAACTGTGGTAAAAAGAATCATCAATATGATAATTGTAACACAAGATTCTTCCTTTTCTCTGTTTTGTTTTGTTTTATTTGCTTTGCTGGGGATCTAACTGTGGGCCTGAGAGCTATATTGCCAGCCTCAAGAGTCTTCCTTTAAACAGATAACTATCCCTCAGGGAGAAAAAAAAAAAAAAAGGTCACTTTATAATCAAATACAAAGTATCTATTCCTGCAGTGAGTTTTTTCAATTCCTTTAATTTAGAATACAAAGTTGCAATTGGGGTTGACACAGTAGCCTAAAACAACCTCACTCAAGGTCTAGATGTGGCTGCTTTGGCTACCATATTAATGAAAAAAGGCAAATTAATCACAGACTTAGTAATTATTCCTGAGGACATAAATTCACACATCTATGTGTAAATCACTATTATAAACCAGCCTTTTAAAGATAATTTTTAAAATAGAGTGATTAAGTCACGGTTATCACAAACATACACCAACTAGACACATTGTAAAGAACAGTTTTTACTATTGTGAAAGTACAATCTTGTAACTTGGAATAAAATAGTCAGTGACAGCTGGGTATGGAGGTGCACACCTGTAATCCCAGCAAGAAGGCTAAGGCAGGAGGACCACCAAGTTTGAGCCCAGGCTGTATGCACAACTTAGCAAAAACCTGTCTCAAAATAAAAAATAAAAAAGAGCTGGGTATGTAGCTCAGGCCAAAGGTTGGGTTCAAGTCCTAGTACCACCACCAACCCCCCAAAACATGCACGTGAAGAGTTTAAAGAAAAATGTTTTAGGAGTAAGATGAAAAGCAGTATTTTTAAACTAATGTTATTTTATAAAGTATGTTGTGATTTTCTTTCTTTCCTTTTTTGTTACTGAAGATTGAATTTAGACCTTACACAGGCTCGACAAGTGCTCTTACCTCTGACCTAATCCCCAGCCCTTCTTTACAATTCTGAGACAAAGGCTTGCTAAGTTGTCCAGGCAGGTGTTGAACTCCTATCCTCCTGCCCCTGTCTTCGGAGTCATCATGCATGTGTGTCACCATGCCTGTTGTGATGTTTTTATTTTTGTGACTGCTGGGATCAGACCCAGGACCTCAGACGTGCTAGCCAACTACTCTTTGACTGAGCTACATCTCCAGTAAGTATGTGATTTTAAATTAGTACGGGTATATTTATTTAGTTTTGGAGTGCTGGGAATTGAACCCCATGCCTCAGGCATGCTAAGCAAATGGTCTACCACTGAGCTGCACCCTCAGTCTCTCCCTAAATGTAAATGTACATTTTGCCACCTACATACCTAAAAGTACAGATGTTTTCAACTTAACATGAAAACAGTTTTTTGGACTGTTTTGTTTTATTTTGTTTTGTTTTTTGAGGGTCTTGGTATATAGTTCAGGCTGGCCTTGAACTCACTATGTGGCCCAGATTGCCCTCAAACTCACAGTGATTCTCCTGCGTCAGCCTCTCGAGTGATAGGATTATAGGTGTGCACCACCACATCCAGACGTTTTGGACTTTTTCATAGGGAAAATTTGATATTTGAGACTGCCTTAGAGTTGGACAATATGGCATACACTGAATTTCAATAAAATTAAGTTGATTCACATAAGTGGTCTAATTTTTGGTACCGGAGATCGAACTCGGGACCTTGTGCTTGCAAGGCAGGCGGTGGAACCAGTGAACTAAATCCCCAGCCCCATAAGTGGTCTATTGAGCACTTAATCAAGTCATGCTCTGGTTCTGTCTCTCAGAGGCATAAAAGCTGGAAAGCCTGATGCCAGTGACTTGTTCCACCTCCATTTACCAATCTTTCAGAGACTGAATCAGCACATCAACAGCAAGGGCCAGGATCCTTTCCTGGAAACTGTCCTGATCCTCCTTTGAATTGGGGACCTCAGCAGCCCACTGCCCAGCACATCAGCCTTGCAGTCCACACCCAGAGGGGCCGCACCTACAGACCCATGCCGCACCCTGTATCAGGTAAGCCACTGTTCCCCGCTGTCCCCAGTGAGGCCTGAGTCCTCCCTAAAAAGGGGTTCTTGTACTGAAATGGCTGCCCCTCTCTGCACCATTCATGCCCAACCCCAGTTCCATGCTCTCCACGAAGTCGTCCTAACCCCCAGCCCACATGCTGGCTCTTGCACTTCCTGTGGAATGCAGTCATAATTCAGCACACTACGATGGCTTTGGGTATATTCTTTCTCTCTCTAAAAGAAGCTGGAGAACAGGGATCAAAAGTAGTAATTCTTTTACATTCCCCTCAGAGTTGATTGTCACTTGATTAATTTTTTTAATTAAAAAAAATTTGTATTAGTACCTACTTGCAGTATACGTTGATTACATTCATGATAGGGAGTTGCACACTGACACAACACACCTTAGTTCTTTTGACTTTCCCCCTCTGCTCCCCCTGTCACTTGACTGAATGCTATCTAATGACATTGGGCCACTTGAAGTGAAGGATCCAGTGGGCCATGTTCAACGATAAACTAAAAGGAAAACAGGAGTAGTATCTAATGCAAAACACAGTTTTGGGCAAGGCTACTGCCTCTGAGACCTTCACTATTAACCTGCTGGCCTGGATCACAGAGCAGGCTGCCACACAGCACATAATGGAAGGCAGGCACTAAAAACACAGCCACACCTTGCTTTCTAGCATCACCGAAGGCCCTCCCTGCATCACATCCATCGCAAGAGCCTCCGAACTTGTTCCCTGCACCCACGCTCTAATCCAGTAGTGTACTCAAGCCTGTGACATTGACAATCAGATTGTATCACTCCCCTCTCAAAATCCTCTGATCACGGATGGGACTGAGTTTTAGCAGGAAACAGATGGCATAAAGTGGGTGAACTAAGGAAGTGTTTACAATGGTGTGGGCAGGTGTGGGGAACCCACACGGGAGAGCGCAGCACCGGAGCTGGGAACTAAGAGGCTCGGGATCCACTCCTAAACCGCAAGATGTGAGGGGAAGGATGGAGAGGGAGACAGGAGCTCCATGGAGCGGGCATCGCACAGGAGCTGTGGCCTTCTATCCACAGACCAGCCACACAAGCCTGCAGGAGGGAAGAAACACACCGATGTCATTTCTCGCCCACCTTCCCACTTCCCAGCAATCCTTGCACAGCCAAGTTCAACCAGCAGCTCTAGCAAGGGAGCCTGTCAGCGCAGGTCCACCTCCTGGGGCACATACACACAGCGTCTCCAGCCAACGGCTTCCTCTCTCAGTGAGGGCCTTTCGATTACCACGCAGCCTGCAGGGCCCTGCATGAGCCCATCTCAGCTCCTGCTCTCCTGCTTGGTAGCCTCTTTACTCACCAAGGACACTCCTGCCTCAGATCCTTTGTCTCTGCCGTCTACTCTGCCCAGAACTCTTCCATCCATCGCATCTAGGTGTGGCCTGCTTCCTCACCTATCTCAGGTCAGATCAAATGCAACATCATCAGTTTTCCCTTGCTGCCATTCCTGGAGCACCCTACCCCTTTATCCTGCTTTATTGTTCCCCACAGCAGTCTGTCTCTCTTCCCCTCCCTCCCTCTTGGTGTGGTGCTATAGATTGAACCCAGGGCCTTGGACATGCTGAACGCTCTTTTATCATCTAGCTACATCCCATCCCTGATAGCTTTTTACTGTTTTAATTGAGTGCCTCCCTGGCCTGGAACAAGTTTCCTAAAAACATCAAATCGATTTCCTTTGTTCATGACTGATGATGGGTACCTAGAACAGTGCCCAGAACATTAAAGTCACTCAAGTATTTGCGGAATGAATGAATGAATGCATAGAAGGATCCATAGCAAACTGATCTTTGTACTGTTAATAAGACTTAACTGCTACTATCAAAAATTTGTCTCACAAAGTCTCCGATAATCAGGGAGGTATTGAGCATTTGTTTTTTTATTGCAATGGCACAAAACTGAGTAGTTAATAAATAACCATGAGTAAATGGAAGTTTTGATCAAGACCAAAAAGATAGTGGGGTTTGGTGGCGCACGCCTGTAATCCCAGTACTCTGAGAGTCTGAGGCAAGAAGACTGCAAACTCATGCCAAGGCAGGCAACAAAGCAACTCTGTCAAAACAAAAATTTAAAAAAGGACTGTGAATGGAGCTCAGCGTGAAGGCCTGGGTTCAATCCCCAATGCCAAAAAAACCAAAAACAAACCAAAAAGCCCAGTATTCTCTGTAAACAACTCTTCCTCACAAGCTGTTCTTTTTTTAATTAACTTTATTGGTACATTTTAGGCATACAATATGATGACATTCATCACTGGGAATTGTACCTTTACATAATATGTCTTGGTTCTTATTTTTTCCCGATTCCCCTGCCCTCCCTTCAACCCCTCCATCTCTCCCTATTTACAAAGACTTTGTTTCCATTTTTTCCTTTTCTCATATTTATTCCTTTCCCTTCTTTCCTTTCCTGTACCCCTCTTACTTCCCCTTTGGACCTTTTCTTCCTGTTTCACATTATCTATTATACATTTTGATCCTTATTTACACTTTAAGTTTACAACCTGTTATTTCTGATCAATGTATATCACTACCCCACCAACCAGTACTTCTCTAAACCTGTCTTCTTCTATGTAAAATGGGTAGGGACTAACAGATACAATGTTTTTGTTTTGAGACAGGGTATAACTACACAGTTCAGGCTGGCCTTCAACTTACTAGCCCATAGTGGCCTTAAACTTATGGGCATCCTCCTGCATTGGCCTCCTCGGTGCTGGGATTACAGCCATGCACCACCATGCCTGGCTGACTGAAAGACAATGTATAGAGAGCATTTTAGCACAGTGCTGGGACTAAATGATTGGTCACTACAATAATTATTAAGACACTGAGGTGGCCACAATATCTTCCCACTAACTGCAACGGTTCATCCTGGACTTTTAAAAAGTGAACTACAATAACAACATGGTAAGGACATATGATACTGTAGTTTCTATCATATCAATTGGGCTCATTTCTGAAAGATGCTATGTAATAACATATCAGGACCTAGCATCTTCTCCTACCATTAGCCTTGATTTGCCCCTCTTCAATCAGAATGTAGTATCCATTTGTATTGTTCATTATTCCTACTCAGAATATAAGTGGTGATGTTTTTCAACTAAGCAAGCAGCAACTTCAGCAACCTTCTTTAAAAAAAAAAAAAGTGGTATACATAAGGGGAAAAGAGCAGATCAGAAAAGCTCCTGAAAAGATTTACTTTTCATTTGCCTCTCTTAACCATGAAAATCTGAGGCAAGAGGACTGCAAGTTTAGGCTCAACCCAGGCAACATAAGTGACTTGGTGATCCTGTCTCAAAATAAAAATTCAAAAAGGGCTGGGGATGTAGCTCAGTGTGAAGGCCTTGGGTTCAATCCCTGGTCTCTACATTAACAGACCAACTCTAATTCCCTTTTCTAATTCCCCTATCTGCTAGATAAGTGCAAGCACCTACAAGAAAGGTAATCCCAGGGGCTGGGGTAGGGGTAACCCCATAGTCAAAGGCCAGAACAAAGGAAAAGGGTCTGACCTGGCTCTATTCAATAATCCATCATTTGGGAACACTGCAAAGATCCTGTAGGGTTTTGACCGATAGCAGACTTTTAAAAAAATCTTTGGCCAAAGACTTTCCGTAGGACACACTGGTGAGTTAACTAACCTGAAGACCTAGTCTCAAAATGCAAGGGTTTCCATGAAACCATTTAAAATAATCCTTCAGTGGTTCCACTGCCTGCCTTGAAAGCGCAAGTTCCAGAGTTTGATCCCCAGTACCAAAAACAAAAACAAAAACTCCTTCTGCTATGTGTATAACCATATATTCAAGTCCTTGTTTTTTGTTACAAATTCATATTTACAGCTCTAACTGTATAATAATTACTGCTATTCATTGTGCCTAAATGGAGGCTTTCAGCTTCAGGTATGAAAGACAAAGTAGGTCCCTCCAAGGTTAAGCCTGGAGATTGATCTTACTAAGAGATTTTATTTTAGTAAGCAGCTGGATGCTTATTTAGTAGTTCTTAAAAGAATCATCCTGACCGCTTCTAGTAACAGATGGATAAACAACTCTACAACTAACTGGGGAACAATTTCAATTGTGGAATGAGAAGAAAAATGAAACCATAGTTTACTATTCATTACTTCAAATATTTCACAAGGAGAAGTCGGACCCTGCCTCTAGGCCTTAGTGAATGGTAAGTAGTTCAAAATTCATACTTTAAATGTTAGCACTTTCCAAACCGCATTGTTTTCCTGCCTGTCTTCCTCTTCAACCAGACTGCTGGTCAGAGACTGTTTTCTGTTTGTAGTCCCAGCCTTTAATATTGCGTCCAACCCAGAGCTGGTCCCAAATGATTATCAACATGCCCATCACGAGCAGGCCCCAACCTGGCACTGTAGGTCAGAAGTTAAACTGATTATGAAATGGCATAAGAACAGTCTGTCTCTTGTGTCCCCTCTGTCCTCGACAGATAGCAGGGTGGGAAAAGCACAGCCTCCGTGTAGGAACCTCCCGGTAGAATGAAGCGCGCTGTCTGATCCGCCTGGGCTGTTGTGGGCTCCAGACACAGGACAGCCGAGTGGACCAGGTACTGGCCTCTCTGCCAAGCCCGACTTGACCACGACCCCTCCCAATCCGGCCTCACCAATTCTCCACTCGGAAGCCCCAGCCTGGGCGCCCGGAGCGCGCCGGAGGGACCGCGGTGCACTGTGGGAGTCGTAGTTCCTCAGTGAGCTTCGCACCACGCGGTCCCGCGGCCGAGACTCCCGCTCCCAGAAGCCCCCGCGCGGGCGCCTCGCCCAGTCCTGCCACCTCACCTGTTCTCTGGACGTAACTGTTTCCACCGAGTCGTCCTGCAACCGCTCCCGCGCGTGCTCGGGCCTCAAACTGTACAGCGTTTCTGGCCAGACAGGGGAGGAGGATGGAGGGCAATAGTAGGTGAAGGAACTCGAAGAAGCCATGATCAGAAGAGCAGCGGGCAGTGTATGGGATTCAGCTTCGTTCAGTAACAACGCGCATTGAAACTCGAGCGGGCTAATGCACTACGGAAACTTGGTAGAGTCAAAAAGAATTTAAACGCGAATCTCTCCTCCCACCTACACTTCTTCCTGGAGTGAGTTACTGGTTTGTTGCCGCCCCCCATTGGGCAGACGAGCTGCTGCAAGAGCTCAGCTTCCTGGAACGCAAGGAAGGGTACGTGCACCTGAATTTCATTTATGAGAGATGGTGTAAGACGACTTGGTTCGTTCTGCAAATTAAGAACACATACCAATATTCTGCTAATTCTCACTTAATTGTAATGCAGTACTTTGTAGGTTCAGGTGAGCAAGAACCCAATGAATGTAACTTTAGAAACATTTCTGACCCCTCTCTTGATACCTCAGTCATGCTATTACTAATAGAATTATTGTAAACCTTTGGATCCTTGACAGCTTCCCAGGAGAAGCCATCAGCTTCTCAACAAATGAGTAGAATTGCTGTCTTACTACTCAGTGATGTAGAGAAGGGACATTAAAATTTTCTCCCCCCACCTTGGGAGTTACAGTGCAGTAGCAGAAACTAAAATGTGGTAGAAGAAAACAAGCAGTAAGTGAAACAACCAAAGAAATAGTCATTTGGGCAGTCAACAAATACTTATGGAGCACCTCCTACATGTCACCATTGTGCTGGGCCCTGAGAATGCAAAAATGAACAAAGCAAGCAAAGCCCTAGGCCTTTGGGAACATTACACATTAGAGGAATAGAATTAAATGAACGAACACAAATAAATGAAGACTTACAGTAATCGTATGATAGAAAATAACAGGGTTTATGAGAGGCAGAGAGGCTAGGGGTCTAATTAGATTCGGGGGTCAAAAGCTTCTTTGAGTACATTTAAGCTGAGACCCAAAGGACAAGGAGTCATCCAGGAGAACAAAATGAGGAGGAGCTTCAAGAAGGAACAGGAAGTTTGAGAGAACATACCAAAAACACATCCATGGGCCGGGGATTTAGCTCAGTGGTTTCGCTGCCTGCTTCGCAAGTGTGAGGACCTGAGTTCAATCCCTGGTACCAAAAAAAATACATCCATGTACTGCATTCTTGCATTAATTCTGATGGTTAATCTGAATGTGTACCAAACAAAAGAAATTTTTATTTTTATTGAGTAGGCTTAGTCATCATATTCCCCCATAGATATAATGTTAAAGTAATGATTTTAGGAAAAATCCTGTTACCTTTGGAAAGCAATAAAAGAGAATCTTTTTCAGGACCTACACATCAAAAGGACTACACTGTAATTACAATATCAAAAGATTAAGTTATTTAAGGTAGTAGGTTGTGGGAGAAGAGAAGAGAATAATAGATAATAATAGATATTCCAGGTGCTGGGGATGTAGTTTGTGGTAGAGTGCATGTTTAGTATGTGTGAGACCCTGGCTTCAATCCCTAGCACCACACCACACCACACACACACACACACACACACACACACACACTCCAGATGTTCTAGATAGACACAAACTGTACTTCCTGCTCAGAGTATTTTACGCTCTTCCCACTCAATCCTAAATCACATACCTAGGATCTGAGGAATATAGGCCCATGTGATATTTTACAACTGGTCATTCCTCTGTTTTCAGTAGCTGGTGGTCACTGGAAGCACTCAGAATCCAAAGACGAGCCTGGACACCGTAAGACACTTGTGTGGGTGAACACTATCACATGCCCAGTGGTAGTGTTCCCTAGTGAGAAGGAGTAGGGCTGTGGGTTGTAGAGTAGCTGTACAGCATGAAAAAAGTCTGATAATGTCAGGGTCATACCTAAAGTCTCAGGCCTCTTTTTAAAGAGTTCTTGTGCTTAAGAGCTAGAAGCTTTGCTATCGTAGCTTTCCACGATAGTCCATGCTGTGTTTCCCAAACACAAACACAGCTTGTACTTTTATCTTTGCTCTTACCCTCTTTTTCTATTTACTTGGCCCAAGTTCTCTCTGTGGAGCCAGCTTCTCTCCCACTCTTCACTTTTACTTTCTACAGTAAACTGCCACTGCTTTAAAAAAAAAAGAGCTAAAAACTTAACATTTCAATGCTAAAGATTGGGCTATTGAGATGGTAGCTGGGATGATTTTGTACTGAATTGTTGGATGTCACAGGTGCACTTGGAGCAATTGCAAATTACATTTCACCAATAGAAATCCATTTCTGAAATGCACCATCCTCTGCAGTGGGACCCAAAAGTTGTTAAATGGAGCCAGGCAAGCATCTCCTGAAAGATAATGTCCATTCATTAAGCACTTCTTGTGTATCAGTTATGTGCTGGGCACTGAGCTAAATGCTAAGGAGACAGTGGTGAACAAGCCACAGTCTCTGCTCCTGTGGGTCTCATTTACCAGAAAAAACAGACTTCAGATAATAATTTTAGGATTGGCTGTTTCCTTAGAGCTGGATAAAATGGCAGGAGGCAAAGAGAAGCACAGGGTTTTGCAAGATCACATAACAAGGGAGACCTAAGGTAGTCTGGAAGATCTGGAAAGACTCCGATGAGGAAACAAATTAACTACCCCAGGGGCGGGAACGACCAGGTGGAGGAAACCCACTGACAACCAAAAATCTAGTGAAACCAGTAATAAAATGCAGGCGGAGTCTATCCCCTGTAAGCATCAAGGAGATCGTTCAGCCTTGGATCAGCAATGGCCTGCAAGTTGACCTTCCTCGGGAGGGTTTCATTAAACTACTCATACAAGAAACAGAATGAACGTCAATATTGGTAACACTTCGAAGAATGCTGTACTTCCTAGGGAGGGGAAGTCTTAGTAATGATAATTAATAGCAGCTCCAGCTTGGAGAGCAGATGGCTTGGGTTTATTTTATTCAAATGCCTGATGTTATTTTTCTAAATTAAACTGTGAATCGTATTCCTTTAAAAATAATATGAAATGAGGACAATGCTAGTTTGTAGTCCCAATAGCAAGAAAACCAGGAAAACCTTAGTGGCCTAAATGAACCACTAGAGGTCGCTTCTGACCCTATAGCAAGGGCAGGGAGCAAGTTCTGAAACTGCTCTGCTTCGCTCACAGCAGAATGAAATGTTTCTTTTTGAGATCTTGTAAAACTATGTAGTAATGCATTCGGAACATTTGGAAAATGGAAAGAGCTCATCTATTACCCTACCAGGTGATTAATCGCGTCATCTACTCTCATGTCATCAGCTGTGCCCCCCTACTCTGAGATGCTTGTCCTTCTTGTTCCTCCCAAAGGAGTAACTGCCCCAGCTCCTGCCTAGGCCCAGCCCCTCTGGCTCACCTAATACCCCTCCCAAAGACCAACTATAGCGATTCTCCCTTGCCTCTCTCTAACATCAAATTTTCTCTCTATCTGATCATGCCTGTCCCCCTAAACATGCTATTTCTCCATTCTTGAGAGGGATTTTCTTTTAGGAGGATGAAGACTCACTATGTTACCCAGGCTGGCCTCAAATTCATAGGCTCAAATGATCCTCCTGCTTCAGCCTCTGGAGTAGCTCAGGATTGACTATAGGTGTGTGACACAGAGCCCAGTATGTGTGTACTGGGGGGCACGAGGTGCCACCCCTCTAGCTACTTCCGTGTTACTGGCTTGCAGAGCAAATGTCCTTGAAAGCGTCACCCCTACTAATGTCTCCAATTCCTCTCCTCGGGCTCCCTTTTGAACACCATGTAATCTGGCTTCCTAATCGGGTCAAGTTCATTAAGCTCATTTTGCTAAATCCAAGGCCCATTCTCAGTCCTCATCTCACAACTTCCTGCTTGACTTCCCAGCAGCACTTGCTTGGTCACTTACTCCCTCCTGAACACTTTTTTCTTTTTTTTTTTTTTTTTTGGTACCAGGGATCCAACTCAGGACCTTGCACTTTCAAGGCAGCCGTCGGAACCACTGAGCCAAATCCCCGGCCCCTGCACATGAACATTAATTTTAAAGTCCACAAGTGATGCTGAGCACAGAGCTGAGGCCCACGTGAAGCTTCTTTATATGAGGCAGAAACGATCCCTTCCCCGGGAGAGAATTGCCACTGGAAAGTGATAGCCCTGTAGCCTCCTTGCACTTAGGCCATTGGAACCAGAGGGAGGCTACCCACCACAGCAGGCTAGCCCTTCAGTGTCTTCTCTTCAGTGCTCTCTTCCCTGTCTTACCCTCTGCCAGCTGCATGCCATGGCCTAGGGCAGCCCTCCACTTCATGCCTCATGTTCAAAAAGTTAAAAAAATCTCAATTAACAAAAAGGTGCTTCAGTGTTTTACACCACGGGAAAGATGCTATCCCTTTGCAGATTCCAAATTATTTTGTGGGCAAGTATCATGACCTCTTTCAAATGTATTAACACTCCTTTCAAACAGCCTTTCTGAGGTCTGCTAATTTAGGATTACAGGGTCAACTCTCTCCTCTCCTGTGGACAATTCTTCCTGCTATCTATAAGGCGATCTTTGGTATATTTTTGTTTAAAAAAAGGAAGTCTGTAATCATGACGAGTGAGGGACATGGAGTGTGGTGTTTCCTCATCTTTGATGGGTGCTTTTCTTGATCCTTCCTACAAGGCAGTTCTACAAAGAGCAGTGTCTTGTTTTTAAATACAGCCCACAATAGGGGTCCCTTGTGAAGATACCAGAGCTTCTCCCACCTCGGGTGCCTACATGATCTTGTGAAACACAGCCACCCTCACCCTCCCACCTTGCTGCCCATTAGACTTCACAGGAGAGTGAAATAAACCTTCATGGTGTCAACCCCCCAAATTGAGAAGTTCATCTGTTACAGCAGCCAGCATTACCTTCACTGATGTATGTGATAACACATTCCTGCCTGCAGATTTTATCTTGCCACCCTGAACCTAATTTGAATAAAGGTTTAGGATGACATACAGTGTATGTGGTGGTTGCTAGTCAAGTCTCTCAACTCTAGTCTCATAAGGGAAAGGATTTCTCTTCTGAGACTTTCCCATTACAAAATCCAAAATCACCCACATCTAGACCACCTGCCAGGAAACTGCAAGAAAGACACCTCAGCTTTCATTTCCTGCTGTGCAAGAATGAAATGATTCCTAAAAACGACCTGGGCACAGGAAATTTGATGAGGCCCCAGGTTTGGTGCTTGTTACAGGCTGAATTGCATTCCCCCAACATTCATGTTGAAGCCCTCACCTCTAGTACTACCGCGGATAGCTAAGTTAGGAAGAGGTCCAATAGAGTCAGAGCAAAGATGAGGCTAACCAGGCCAGTGGCCAAGGGCTGCGTTGGTACAAACTAGGCCCCAAGGTGGAGACAGGATGACTAGGCCTGCGAGCCTCCCCAGAGATAAAGGATAGTCCAGAGCAGTACTAAGTAGCACTGGCTGTCCAGTAAGCCTGAGCAATGTAACAAATACACAGACAGATGACCAAAACACTCTGACCCTCACTCTTATTCCTTTCAGAAACGCCTTTGTTCTTCTCCATGCTATGCACCCTTATTACTCACCTTGTTTTTCTATTGGATCAATATTAGCTAAGTAACTGTACTTGTAATCCTGTAGGTTGATTGCACCTTGAGCTGAGGTAACCTGTGGTGAGATTTTATGTATAAAAAATCTCAGGCCAAGGATTTAGCTCAGTGATGCTGCCACCTGCCTCGAAAGCTTAAGGTCCTGAGTTCAATCTCTGATACCAAAAAAAAAATCTCCTAGACAAAGAGCCTCAGTGGCAACCCACTTTCTGGACCCCTCCCGCCTCTCAGGAGCTTTCTGTTAAAATTTTCCTACTTTCTTCACCTCCTTTGTCCTTGACTCCATTTTTTGGCATCATGAGACTTGAACTCAGCACATCTAACAGACCAGAAATTACTTCCCTTCAGTTGTAACAGGTTGTGACTGTATTTTGATAAAATAAAAGTCAAAATGACTGTAGAAGTGAGTGGGGGGGAGGCTTAGAGTTTTACTGACAGGAGGAAGAGTGCATGGCAGACATCCTGCTGGGAACTGAATACACCAGGGGAAACAATTTTCTGGACCCCAGCCATACCTTGCAAGGTTTGAGAAATACTGGAGTGACCAGTTTTGCCTCTTGGTCTGGACATTCCAACACACACGATCTATGACGACCACCCCCCCAATTTGGACAGTTTCTAACCACTGGATTCGCCAAGAGCTCAGGTTCACTTTCCTTCAGCTGGGCACTAGTGTGGTCTAATTGAGCTTGTGTTTCTGGGTTTGCACACCTGTTCTGCACCTGGGTAAAACTGTCTTTGCTTTATTTTAACCTCATTTGTGATTTCTTGGCTTACCATTTCTGGAGAAAGGATCTTCAAAGAGGTAATTAAGATAAAGTCATACAAGTGGGCACTAATCCACATGTCTGATGTCCTTATAAAAGAGGGGATCAGGACATAAAGGTGCACAGAGGGAAGCACATGTGGACTCAAAGACGGCCATGTACAGGTCACTCTCTGAGGGCCACTTGAGACCCCACAAAAGAAACCAACCCTGCAAACACCCTGAGCTCATTTCTAACCTCCAGACTTATAAGCAAAGAATTTCTGTTGTTTAAGCTATCCACCCTGAGGCACTTTGTTATGGCAGCCATGGCAAATTGAGACAGTCCTGAAGGTGTCATCAAGGGCACCCTGAGATGTTATCAGGGGCCATTTTGTATTAACACAAATTACTATCAGAAGTATTTCCTTTGGTTCCCAGTCCTGAGAGGCATGTGTTTCTGACAAGCTGTCTTCTTTGTTTGTCATTTCAGAGTCTCTCTCCCCCATGCTCTGTTTCTTGGATGAGAAAGAAAATGAAAGTGGAAGGAAGACATGCTATGGTGATGGGGCAGGGTTTTCTGTTCTGTTTCTTCTGAGCCAAGATAAGATGGGACTCCTTCTGCACAGTGAGCATGTACAGTCACGCAGGGCTGGACACTTGGGAGGGAGTCTGGAAGAGGCAGTGAATTTGGCTGAAGAGCCCCATGGCCAGCTGTGCCATCTTGGTGGCGAGTGGGCTGCCTTTCTGAGCATCTCTCAAGTTGTTCCGCTGTTGCCATGGCAGATCCCACAGTGGTGCCCTTGGGAGCATGCGCAGTGTGACTGGAGTGGGGGTGGGGAGAGCAGGGGGACTCGTCTCCCTGGAAAAAGAACTGGTACAATCTGATTTCATGTGGGAGAGAGGTTCGGCCACCGCTCCTCAGATGTCTCTCAGTTCTACTGAAATTTGGCCCCAGTTCAAGTTGACTACAGCTGGGTTTGGATGTCAAAATGTCCCATTTAGGGACTGGAGAAAGGAGATGGAATTGAGTGTTTCATTTGCAAACCCTCTGTCATCTAGGTAATTCTTTTGCTAACATTGTCCCAAAATCTTAGCTGAACATGGTGGTGCCTGTAATCCCTGCACTCTGGGCGGCTGGCCAGAGGACGGTAAGTTCAACCCCAGCCCGGACAACTTAGTGACTTGGTGAGAGACCCTGTCTCAAAATAAAAAATTAGAAAAGGGCTGAGGATGTAGCTCGTTATGAAGGCCTTTAAACAAGAGCAACAAACCCCCTACCTCTTCCACTTACAGAGCACACACGCAGGTGGAATAAGTGTGGGAGTGGGGAGATAGCTAATCTAGGGGGAGGTTTCTGATGGCTCGGAAACTGGCTAAGTCAGGATAAGAATGAATAACTGAAGGTTGCTCTTCTGTTCTACCCCCCACTCCCTTGTTTGTTTTTGAGGCAAGGGCTTGCTATACAGCTCAGGTAGGCCTGAACTCACCATGTCGCCCAGGTGGGCCTCAAGTGCTGGCACTGCAAGCATGCACTACCACACCTGGCTCCCCCCATTGAAAAAAATCAGTGTAAACTGTTGAACTCGAAGTCATTCTACTATGATGAAGTATCCAAAATTTTAAATGAATACGAGCATTTTCCTTCTGGATTTATTCAGGAAATTCCTCATTCCCTTTTTGTCTTGCCCAGGGAAAGCCATTTCTATCAAAGTGAAGTTCCCTCTTGGACTGAGGAATCCACCTAAGCTTGGTTCTTCTTTCATGCTTCTTCTGACAGAAGCAAGCAGAGAACCACTGTAAGAAATAAAAGGAGGGCCGGGGATTTAGCTCAGTGGTTCCAGCGCCTGCCTCGAAAGCGCAAGGTCCCAAGTTCTATCCTCGGTACCAAAAAAAAAAAAGAAATAAAAGGAGACAGAAAGAAAAACTAGCAGCAAGGACAGGTTTTATGTACAATAAAGACCTGAGAGGGGCCATTGGCTCCGAAGTACCACAAGGAGCTTTCCTAGAGAGTAAGGATTTATAGGTGCTAAAGGGAATGAGGAAGTTAAGGGCCTGCTGTTCTCAGGATGGGTCTTCAGGTCTGTGGTCACTGGTCCATCTTGTGTTTGTGCAAGGTTCCTATTCAAGAGGCTGAACGCCCCTTGACCTGGATGTTTTGTACAGTAAACAGATTTAATGGGCTTCATAACCAAGGGGCACGGAAGAATGTGGGTAAAGGTCGCAACTCATAGGAAAATGTCCACTGGCTTTTCCCTTCAGCCACTAACACCCCAAATAAAGAAGCCTGCAAAGTGGATGTACCATTACAGTGTTGATCTATGGGACCCCAAAGCTGGTCGCTGAGTTAACCTGAGCCCTGTGTTTCATGCAGTGGTGGAAGGAAGGAAGCATCACAGGTTGGGTCTCAGTTCAGAAAAATACAGCCCTAGCAGGCTCATCTGCAGGATATTCTCACAGCCCAGGTATGCAGAGTGGAAGTGTTAGAGGGTGTCTTCTGTACCTAGCATTTTACTGAGTGCAGTGTCAATCCATAACTGGGGAAATCATGTAACTCCCAACCTGTTAGATGTTAGATATGCCAAGTTTGTGTTCCCCAAAATCGAAGAATGAATTTAAGGAACAACAGAGGTTAATAGTAGAAAAAAATTATTGAGAGACAGGAGGGGACCCAAAAGTAGGTTGCTGCAGACCCCACTTCACAGAGGAGGTTTTATAGAGCAAAATCATTAGGTGGGTACAAAATCACAAGGTAGGTACAATGTGGGTCAAAACTGTGATCAACCAATAAGATTATTAGTATAGCTACTTAGATAATATCAGTCCAATGGGGAAGCAGGTCATATAGCAAGTGTACATGGAAAGAACAAGGACATTTTTAGGAAGGGATAAATCAGGAGGTCCTGGTCATCCACCTGGGTGACTGATGTCTATCTAAACTTTATTGGCCCAAGTGATACCAATTATAGTGTAATCTTTAATTTATTGCTTATCCCTTGGGGAGGTTATTTTGTCTTTAT